GAGAGTTTTAACTGTTTATTTTCATTTAGCACCTGCCTGCAGCGTGTGTCACCACCAGGAACATTCCATGAGGTCCCAAACCATCGGCACAAGGACACCAAATATAGCCTGGGACACAGCAGCTGGAACTATCCTGCCATAGTTATTCCAATTTCATCCGAGAGGGTCAGCAACTTAGGATCCATTTCTGGAGATAATGGAATACCTCAGTAATTATTCAGTAGCCAACCAAATAACTTATATTAGCTAACAGACCTCCCTTTTGCACCTCTGCCCTCACACACATGCCAGGAGGTGGTGCTGTCCTTCAGATGCTCTGAATACACTCGTTGCTCTTTCTGTGTAACATATTTATGCAGATAAAAGACTTCACTAGATCAGGGGGACTTTATGCAAGTGCACAAGCCCACGTGTGCATGCACATGACAACAGCTGAAGATTCAAATTTCATGCAAAGTAACTAGTAAATGCACAGTCAACAATTTTAAAAATTCCAACTTTATCAGTTCCTAATGATCCCAATTTGAATGCACTTGTTCTGAAAGGCACAGAAACTCTTTAGTGCTTTGCATGAATTCAAATCATTGGCTGTAACTCACAGAGAATAAACCTGTTGTGTCACCCATCTGTAACAGCCATCTGGGACAGATGTTTTAAATGGAAACCACCACGAGATTTAGGGTTCACAATCAACTGATCATACATCTTGATCATTTACCCCCTGAATGACCCAATAAGAAATTATGGATCCCACCTGACTGAAGGAAGCAATACAGATACTTTACATTGGCTTCCTTCCCTGATACATCAACAGTCCAGAAAGAGGATCAGTGCTATGCCTGCACCATCCTATCCCATCCTACCCAACCCCTGCTGCTTGGAGTGCTAAAGCTCACCTGAATTTTTTATGGGCATGGAATTGATGATCCATTATGTATGCAAAGGCAGGCAGACTACTTGTTTGCTCCTATTTACTTGCTACCAAGGACCGTAGTTTCTTAAGCCAAATAAATCGCCCTTAAAACATGTTAACAATCAACAAGCATAAATATTTTTTATATATTTCTGAAACAAAATTATTAGCTATTCACATCCAAGTTCTGTCAACTCCATTGCATGTCCATCTGGCAGACAGTTGCATTATTTATTTGCTGTCACACTTAATAAATTGATTTACTGGCATTTAAAGATGTCATCTTTACTCATTACAATTTCAATGATCACTTCAGCACTGCCAGCATTGTACCAATGACCCAAGTTTCAACATTTAATCTCTACTTAGATTGAATTCCACATATAAAGCAGTATATGAAGAGAGAGAAGACACTGAAAGACTATGCTGTTCTCATTCAAAGTTCATTGATCTCTATATGGTAACAATTTGATGAGAAAGTTAATTTAGGGACTCAGCTGCAACATACATTTTTCAAGCTCAAGGTAAACTTCAGAACTGGTGACACTGCAATGAAGAATTAAGGTAAATAGGCCTGATAGACAAGAATGGGACTATATCAGGCTCACAAAAATTAAAAGCTACCCAAGTGGTCACACATCACAGCCACTGTCCTAACAGCCACAGGAGGAATGAGACCACATCCTCAGAGACAATTCTTACTGCCCAGCAAAGTTTGGGGCAGATGCTGCTTACCCTCAGCCACATCTTCTTCATGCTCTTCCAAGTACACTTCCAAATTATTTTAGCTGCAGTGCCAGAGACCAGAACTCCATTTCTGCCCCGAGATATTTCAGGCTGGCAAATACCAGCAGCACCCCAGTTTATTAAGGGAATCCTTTAAAAAACGGATCAGCTTGGAAAATGCATCAAAACACAAGACATTTAAGATGCTTTGGACTATCTTCTAGGACACTCTAAGTGACATGTGCAAGAGATATTCAAGAAAAAACACAATGACCACCCAAGCTCCCTGTACGTGTCTCCCCAGTTTGTTCGCTCCAACACAGCCTGGCAAGCAAACAGCTCCACAACCATCACCACTGACTGAGGGGCTTCTGCTGAGAAGGTGACCACCAGTGTATTTCTGCAACACTCTTCAAGCCAGGGGGGCTCAAAAACACACAACAGCATCTTAGGAAGGAGAGGACATATGTGCAGAGGTCAAGAGCTAACATGAGCATGCACATGCACTTCAACTGGAAACTGAACTCCAGCTGAAATAACACCACCTCCCCTACACTGACACCCCTGGGCAGCATAGGAACTAAACACAGCAGCGACCTGCAACTCCCAGCCACACACACACACATATATATCACAGCCAAGCCAAATGACAGGAAAAGTTGGAATTTTGATCATGCCCCACTGGAGAAAAACATAATTAAAACCATTAGGTTTGGAAAACTTCCAGCTCCATGAATCTGACAAAGACATTTATGATGATAGAAGAATAATAATGTCCAGTAAAATCCCTGTACGTAAAAGCACTAAAAGAGTTTTATAGTCAGAAATCCAAGGGAAGAACATTTTATAGAAATTGATGTGCAACTCCTATAGAAAAGGAACAGCACGACTCTTCCATTCCATAAACTGAAGCTTAACTTCACAGCTCTCTATATCCTATGACACTTCTCCTGTCAGACTAAACATCTCTTGTTTTGCTGCAAGAGCAACGTGTTCCACAGGATATTTTTGAGGAAAATTAACTCGAGGCTTCAATGAAAAGAGAGCAAAGTCCTTTCTGTGATAACTAATTTCTGACGCTTCGATCCACTTTGCATTACTATGCTTTAGAGGATGCCTAAGATGAGAAGGAATTCATAACACCATCCACCAAGAGAGGTGCATTACAGTAAGGCATATTGACATGCTTGCTCTTTTTATCGATCCATGCAGCAGGTTCTTACTTGAAGTAACATAAAGAGAAATATCACATTACTTGAAAAGAAAAAAAACCATTTCACAGTTTTTGGAAAAAGCATTTGGCAGAGTGCTACCATCTGCACCAATATTTGAAAACCAAGCTACTCAAATATGCATAATGTACTTAATCTTAACAAGATATTTGAAAATTAGAGGCTTTTTATTACATTTTCCAAAGCAGCATCACTTTGCATATTGAATATTAGATCCATCTGGAAAAGTGACACTTGAAACAATGATGCCTTTTCAAGTCCATACCACCTTGTTATATCAGGCTATTCATACATAACGAACATATGACTTCTGGAAGCTGCTTTTGGGAAATAAGGGTAAGGGGAGACAAAAACTACAAAGATTGCTCATATGGTGACCATAAAAATGATGAGGCTCTCGAAAACATGTATACTGAAGTGTTGTGATCATTTCCTGCAATTTCGCCTGTTTATTTTAGAATCAGGCACATGAGAGCAGCTTAGAGGACACCTCCCTTCTTGAATGGGTTTGAGAGCTTCAAGAGGTTAAGAATTTCACAGCTGATTAGACTGACAAACAATTCCAATTTTGGATCAGTCCAAGCAGTAAGCGACATAAGAAAAGAATTTCCAACACACACGCACTGGAGCTGGAACCTGTTTGGGATTGCACCTGTCAGAGCCCACAAACTGGAGATAGACACTGTGGCCACTCATAGTTTATTTAAAGAAAACTTCTTCTGCCACCCTGCCTCTGTGCCTCTCAGTCATCACCCCGCTTTTGTTTCACGTATTTGCTGTTTAAGCCTAGGAAAAGTGGATTGAAGGCTCTACTCATTTTAACTCAGCAACGTAGCTGCCAACTAAACCTCCTTGACTACAGCACTTTACCTAACCACAATGCTTACAGTACAGAAGGATTCTTTCCATTTTATCCCGAGCCTCACCCTGAACAGTGCACCTGGAGCAGACATCCAGGAAAGGGGGCAGAGTGCAAGAAAAAACTCCTGGAATGATTAATTAACAGAGTAGTCAAAACCAGTTAGGCTTTGTAGGAGCATTGTTACACTTTACTGTCACAGGTCAGTGCCATAATCAAGGTAAGGCTTTGGGAAAAAGGTAGTTGCAAAGTCCTTCTACACAGTCAGTAAGTTTCTAATAGCAGCCTGTCATACCTTACAGGCTTTTGTAAGATCTGGAAGACTACAAAGTATAGACTTCAGAGCAATGTGCTGCTGTGTGTTCCAAGCTGCTGAGCAAACCGTAGGAGAGGGACTGCAAAGCAGAAGCGAAAAAGAAACCTCAAGTTGACTTAGGGCCATTTGCTCTAGAAAAACAATAATTTCCCTGGAAAATGTTCTAAACAGATGAATTTTATCAGGAGGCTGGATGTGAGCTGTTCATCCAAGAAATGCTCAGTAATGAAAGACTAACATGCACTTTACTTTAGGGGGTTTGAACATAACACTATCCTCCCACCTTCGAATCAACTGCTCTGAACTTCTTTGTGCACAATATTTACAATGCCCGCTTTTGTTCTTATGCTAGCAGCAGAAAGAATACCTTCTTTGAGCAAACAGACCTGGAGAGACTGCAGAAATTTGCCAAATATTGATTTTGTTAGGGATGAGCTTAAAATTTCCACCTTGCTTCAGCTTCACACAGAATGAACTTTTACAAACTGATTTTTAAAACAAATGTATTATACTGTATTAAAAGAAGTGAATTATACTACTTCAAACAATAAACTGAAACATCTATTATAATTGAGAACAGTAGAAATCTACACTTAAGGGTAAAACAGTACACTAGAAAAATGATGTCCTAAGAGGTTCTCTCTGAATACATTAAGGAAACACTTTACTCTAAGGATGACTGAGCATGGAGCAGGTCACTTTGGGAAGCTATGGAGTCTCCAGCCTTGGAGATATTAAAAAGCCATCTGGACGTGGTCTAATACCTTTGAGTTTATGTTCTATCAAACCAGATTTGGTGAATACAAGTTATAACTGAGGAAACTGACAATTCAATATATAAGCCCGTACTTCTGTTGGAAACCAAGTTAAAAAAATGTTATAGGGAGTGCAGTCTTCTCCTGAACAACATCTGTGAAAAGCATGCCAAGCATCCAAGAATTACAGAAGCATTACCTGCTTGTAGTTCTCCGGTTGTCTAACAAGATCTGTTTCTGTGACAGAAAAATGTCCAAGGACCTGGTCCACACGGGAGCCACTAGTGAATAAATGGATCTGAAATAGATTGATTTAAAAGGTATTTGTCAGTGCAAGGACCAGACCATTTGCAAGATCATTAGCTAACATCTAACAGTTGGTACGGATTGGTGATGTGAACCAGTAGTTACAAGCCCGTTCCCAATGTAACTACTACCACCAATACAACAGACCTTTTTAAAACAGCCAGAATGGAAAGGATGAACATGCACCACAATTATCTCACAAAACAGTCCATCTGGTAGTGTTACCACATGCAGGCATTGCAATCGCTGATGCCACAGTAAAACTGAAAGATTTCTCTTTGCATCCTGTCCTAAAGTCATTTTCCTTACAGCACACATGCTCTTGTGCATAGCATGAAAGGAGAAACCATTTACGCAGATAGCAGGAGTCTTAACAGAGCTAAAGGATACCCTCAGAATAATTTTTTATTTCTTCCTTTAAAGTAGAAAATGCTACTTAGTTACAGTAAGTTTCTCTTTTGCTGCTACACACTCGGCTTTTGCTTACCAAGACCTTGTCCCAGCTGCACTGGTGCTGGTAACATCAATTACTTGATGAAGAAGCTTCCCAAGTTAGTCAAGGGAACAATAAAAAGCAATTCCTCCTATTCAGAGCTGATCCCTTTGTTACTGTAATAACTGCAGCTGCCAAACAAGATAGCAGTGCACATTTGTCAGACAATCACTCATATTTCATTAATATTTCTGCCAGAAGACAGAGAATGTTTCCTGCTTTTCTTTCTTTATTCTAATATGAACTTTATCACACACTTGGGTATTGACAACTATTTTAAAGTTGACAGGCACTGGGTAATTATCAACCCTTCCGTGAAACTTCAGAATATTTTAGCGTTCCTTTCCCAAAACTCACTTCTGGTGGCAACCATCTGTCACATGTGCAGAGCTATGCGAGTTTAAAAATAAAAGAGTACCTCCCCACACAATGTTCTTCCTTTCTTCTTGCCACTCCCCTCCCTGCTGCATTCTTGTGCAACCGGCTGCCAAACCTTTGGGCCCCACTAGCAATGAATTCCAGCCCATCTTCAAATGTACGTGGCAGCAGCATCACCGGCTAAAGCCCAAAACAAATACACTGAAGATGTAACAACAGAGTAATAAGGTGTTCCCCTGAGACCAGTCTAGATAGATACTGTAATAATCCAGTATTTGTATTTTTGCTATCTGTTACTGATAACCACGACATACCGAAGATAAAACAACGTTTAAAGAGGGAAACTGTACCAAGGTAAAAGCAGCAGGTGAAAGGGTGAGAGACAGAGCACGTATAGCTGTTGCTTCATGGCACTGGAATACACCAAGGTGGAGGCAGGAATCAGACTCTGATTTAACCTCGCAGTGACCTTGGCATGAGAGTACAGGCACAGCCCCCCACTTAGCACCACTTCTGGGGAGCTTCCAGTACCAACTCCTAAACGCCCTTGAGCTTAGACAAGCTGCTCTCCCTGCAGGGTGTCTAATCCACCTAAGAGAAGATGAAAAGGGGGCTTGTTCATAGCTCACACACATTTGCATGAGAGGAAAAAATTCCACTGCATCAAAGGATGTGCTTTTGAGATCTAATGGCAGATTCAATTTAGGAAAAAAAGGAAAGATTTTCAAACCAAATAGACAAGAAATATATAAATAACCACTGTAGTAATTTACAGAGGAACATGGTAGATTCTTCATGTCAAGACAGAGATGCATCTAACAATTGCAGTTTAGCTCACTCAAGAATTACTGACAATGAGGTAATTACCCAGCACCGGTCAGTCTCTGCCCTCTATTATTCAGAGATCAAGACTTTATCCTTGTTCCTTTACTCTTACCACATCATCAGGTATATAGATATGACCAATCCAATCCACTGCACTACATCTTATTTTATACTGTTTATCTTAGGAGAAGGCACAAGAAATCACTCCATTCAAAGGTAGTGGCTCTCAGTGCTCCTCTGCATTCTTACCGACAAAACAAAACTCTTATAGTTTCCAATCATATTATAACCCTTATTGTTGCCTTACCATGATCTGATAATTCCAATTACGTTGAACTCTTCTTCTATTATCAAGAATTCCATTTAATATCATTTTACTCTTACTAACCTATATGCACAATCAGATATTCACCTACTTAAAAAAAAATTAATCTCTGAACCTGATTTAACCCTCCACTATTTCAGGATGGAAGATAGCTAAAAATACCCCCAGGAAATCCATCAGTTCTGCTCAAACTCACCTGTTACGCTCTTTCTTTTCACACGCTGATCGTGGAACAGTGCATTTAACAGACCGCCCAAAAAATGCCAGTCTGAAACTACAGAGTTCCTACCTGCTTTTCTGAAACTATGCAAGGCTTCTCATTCACATTTTTTAAGGCAAAGCTGTAACTCAGAGACTAAATAACAACAGCTGTTCTCTCCCGTGAATTCAAGAGGGATCAAAAACTGAGCAGACAGATATTCCTCTGGCACTCGGCAGAAAGAGGGAGAAACAGAATGGAAGAACCAAGAGGCTTGCCTTCACACGGTAATTGATCCTTCACGTTTCCATATCATTTGAAGGCATATCAGGTAAATATGTACCGCTGAGAATTTCGAGGGAATTATAATGGTATCACTACATTATACTTTCAAAGCGAGCCAACCTGTCCGCAACGACAAGCCATTATAATGTTACTCAACAGCTCATACCCTCAGGCTGCAAAATTCCTCAGCAGCAGAGAGGTTAAGATTTCCCTGAGGAAGCCTTCCTACTACAGCAGGACATGTATGCGTCTGTAGGCTTCAACATGCCTTCTGGGAGCTGAGATCACTGAAAAGCAGCTCATCAGAAGAACTAGCAGAGAGGAACAGCCAGTCAGACCACCTAACAAGCAATTTGCAGCACGTAACCAGCTGTAGCTCCAGGGAGGCTTCCCTCTTCCGCAACCTGCTCTAGGTACTGCAGAACTTCACACCATCAACCTTAAGTGGCAAGGGCAGGACCTGGAGTAGATAGAGGCCCCAGCAATATCCATACTGAAAAGGAGTGGAAGAGCAGTCATCTTCTGAATAAGCACATATTTTCCAACTGCGGTGGTTTTTTCTCAGAAAGCCCCAAATAGAGAACACGGTATTTTAGAGCCCGCGTGAGTCACAGAATGAAATCTGTGTGAGTGTCGCCACTAGTTGGCAAGAATTATAGCTCGTGATCAGCAGTAAATAAGACTGTTCCACAGCTGAGATAGATAACCTGGTAAGTTATTAAACAGAGCAAGTAAAAGCCATAATTATCATTTTGTAGAGAAAGCCCTCTGTAAATCTGTCAGCATAATTAAAAAACATAACACTCATTAGCCTTTTGCACACTGTGTTTGTGGTTTATTAGACAAAAGGAGCAGCTCACATAGAGGTCATATTGGGTCAGCTCAGCCTTCAACACATGCAATAGTTTAAAAGTTTTGAAATTAATGCACCAGTATGAGGAATTTCTCCAGAGTCATGAAATATCAATTACAGTTTACGCAGCTGTTAAATTGTGCAAGTATGTTACATTCTGTGTTACTGTAAATGTTAACATTAATGTGGCTCTGTAATGAAGTCCCTTCAAAAGTCCCTTTTACCTTCCAACTCTCCTGCTTTTAATTCAGACTAAAATATAAATCAGGACATTGCACTTTATTACAGCACTGAACAGAACTCCCACAGCTGCACACATGTATTTGAGCACACATAATATCAGTGTGGGATCACAGAGGGAGGGAGGTTGGGCTCTGTTCTACCCTCCTCTGTTTACATCCGTGGTGGCAGCCCTTCTACACACTGCAAAACAGCCTAACCACTAGAGTCATCACCAGCACCACTACTGCTTTCAGTTTAGTCCAGTGATGATTGTTGGAGAAGGCAGTAATGGTAGCTTTAGGAAACTGGATGAACAGACAAACAATCTCCTTCCTGCTTATTCTTCCAGATTCTGGAAATCATGGTCCAGGGACCTGGCACCATAACTAACCTGTCTCTTAGATTTGTCTGACTGTAGCTGTCCTAACTTTCGAAGACGTTTTTCCTTCAGAGATAAAAAATAAGTCCAAGTTTATTTCAAAGTACAGCCTCCCCCAGGAAGGTCATCATCTCCTCATCTCCCCTGTCAACAAGTTTAGCATGTTGCCAATCAGCACCATCTCCTCATTATTTCAGTGTTTGATCTGGACCGTTGAGACTATCTCTGCTCGTACTTGAGGTCTTAGGTTTGACCTGCTCTTAATTCTTCCTTGGGCTCATTAACTGCAAGCTGAGGCACTGGAGCTGCCTAATGACTTGTTACTGTCAAGTACTACATAAATCAGACAGCTGATGATGGGTTATGGAGGTATTTGCCTCACCTACTATAAAAATCAACACACCCTACACAGAAGTAGCTTATCAGGGGGAGAAGATGCCAATCATTTCACTTGGGTTTCACCTCTCTCAATAACATCACAGTCTGTAATCACAATGAAAAGCCAAGGACTACACCTGCACTTACAGTGAATTGTTATCTTTTGCTCCCAGGTCAGGGAAGCACATCCGCAGTGGTCAATGCAAAGCAAAAGGTTATTTTAGATGCTGCACACAGAGCACCTGATCCTTCCCCTGGTGCTGTCAATCAGACATCTTCCCTAGCAATCAGTTCACAGAAAGAACAAAATGTAACCTCATTATAGTTTTCAGCACTGCTCCGTCAGACACAGGACTAAAACCAAGAAGGCACCTTCATTCAGAGGTGAAGATGATCCTGACAACTTTCTGATAAATGTTCTTGGAGAAGAAATTTCCCAAAACTGTTTTTAGTATCAAAAAAAAGAGGTTTTCTGTGAGGATTCTGAGTACAATAATAACTGACTCCATTTAAGTTATCCAGAGAGATAAGAATGGAAAAAGGTGGCCCAAGGAAAACAATGTTTAATAACTTATAGGACTATCTTCAGAACCAGATTTTTACTTTGTCTCTGCAGTCACCACCACTGTCAACTCTGGGACTGAAGGCTGTTTCCATCCTAAACAGACATAATGCTCCCAGATGTGTCTGATTTCCAGACAGGCATCTAAACATTCATAAACAGAAACAGAACTGGAATCTTAGCAATGCAGAGATTATTACTGATCCCTGATTTAAAACCAGGTTGATTCTGGGTTCTGCTCAGATGCAGCCTAGTACTTTGGAATGGGAAACTGCATTTTATTTTGCTATTACTTTCCATATTTGTGCTCAATATTTTGAATCCACGTTTCCAGGGAAGTTAAGAGTTCTGAATCACTACTTCTTGTCTGTGGGACCAGAATGCTCTGTCTTGTTTCTACCAGGCATTTTCTAGAACAATCAGAACAGCCTATGGCTGCAGAAGTGACTAATGTGCAAACCTGCAAAGGACACTTTTATACAATTATAACTTTACAAACATAACTGTACATATTGCATTTTCTCATGGTTCTGCTGCACTGGGGAAAGGTGGAGGTATTTACATTTAGAGTAATTCACTCTTATCTGCAGAAAAGGCAGAACTAGCAAACAAGAATAATTTGTACATTTAGCTCCAGCTGACAAGGCTTTTAAATAATAAACAACGTCATAGTGGGTTAGAAGAATCATTTACCTTGTGCAAAAGCTTGCACTGCTCTTGGTGCTGAGCATGCAGACTCTGCCATTGGAACCTCAGCCTCCCATTTAACCACTGAAGGTATCGAACATCCACTCTGTCTTCCAGCCCACATTCAGGTGTTGTTTCAGGTGTACCCTTCTGGATGTTAGGCAGATCATCTTCACACTAAAAGGAGAAAAGAATACAAAAACGTTTTAAATTAGTTTGAACACTTTCAAGTCATTTGGTAGTGAAAAACATACAAGCTATATAGGCTAAAGAGGGAAAAAAACCCCCAACAATGAAGTCAATTTCAGCAGCACAGAAAAATTGCCATCTTTTAGAATACAGGACTGGGAACAGCCTAAACAAGTAGAGAAGTGTGGAATAAATATCAGCTTCTCAGCTGTGACTTGGTGAGCCGTCTCCTCTCCCATCTTTCATTTTCCATACCCAGGAAGACACAGTGTTCCTGAGACAGCAAGCATGTTCTTTACCCAGATGGGAAAAATCACATTTGACTAGATTCTAATATGTCAGAGAACAGATTTAGCTCCTCCAGTGTCTTCCTGAGACCCTATTTTGTAAATCAATGACTTATATAAGGACAAAATCGTGGGCCTGTGCTTACCCAGCTATTTTCTTTTCTCCATCTAGCACTTCCCATCTGGCAGGATAGAGGAAAAGAAAAAACGATGCAGCTGGCAATGGCCACAGAGGCACTCCCGGTTACAGTTTTATCGCCTGTCTTGCTTGTCTTGCCTATCTCTAGAGTAATTTGGAAAGAAGAAGGGTGTCTCAGTTTAACGAGACAGAAGTGTTTGCTAAGGAGGGCAAGTTATGAAGAAGACCAAGCTCCTCTCCCTAAGTAATTATAAATCTGAAATTGAGAGAAGTTGTAACAATATCCACCCCAAATTTTTTCATACCAACGCACTATATCAAACTAAACCTTTCCAACCATATAAATACATACATTACCCCAACTATACACATATTACAAATACTTACATACAAATATAGGCACAGTGTTATGCGCAGTTCACACAAAGATAAGGTCCCCTTGGGGTATACATCATTTTTCTCCATCTTACTGCATTATCCACCAAGTGCAGCCTGGTCCTTGAGCAAAAACAATCCCACAAATGGGTTTGCCTTTGCTTGAGACAGGGTTAATCCAAACTGTTTTACCTAACATACCCCTCAGGTGTATTACAGGAACTTCATCTACGGTGTGAAGGGACTCTGACTGGGCAGGGCCGGCTCGACTGACAGAGCCTCTAGTGTTGACTAACCATGTAGCCTTTGCTAGGTGCTGATCCCAGTGCTCGAACGTTCCTCCACCCAACGCCTTCAAGGTGGTTTTCAACAGTCCATTATACTGTTCAGCCTTCCCTGCAGCTGCTGCATGGTATGGGATGTGGTACACCCACTCGATGCCATGCTCCTTCACCCAGGTGGTAACGAAGCTGTTCTTGAAATGGGTCCTGTTATCTGACTCAATCCTCTCTGGGGTGCCGTGTCGCCACAGGACTTGCTTTTCAAGGCCCAGGATGGTATTTCGGGCAGTGGTGTGGGGCACCTGATGCGTCTCCAGCCATCCTGTGGTGGCTTCCACCACGGTGAGCACAGAACGCTTACCTTGGCGAGCTCGTGGCAGCGTGATGTAATCAACTTGCTAGGCCTCCCCATATCTATACTTACTCCAACATCCACCATACCACAGGGGCTTCACTCTCTTAGCCTGTTTAATGGCAGCACGTGTCTCACAGTTATGGATAACCTGGGCAATAGTGTCCATGGTTAAATCCGTCCCTCGGTCTTGCACCCATCTATAGGTGGCATCTCTGCCCTGATGGTCTGAGGCATCGTGGGCCCACTGAGCTAGGAACAACTCTCTCTTGTGCTGCCAATCCAGATCCACCTGTGAGACCTCGACTCATGCAGCTCGCTCTGCCTGTTCATTGTTGCGATGCTCCTCATTGGCTCAGTTTTTGGGCACGTGGGCATCTACCTGGCGGACTCTCACAATCAGCTTCTCTGCCCAGGTGGCAATGTCTTGCCACATATTGGCAGCCCAGATGGGTTTCTCTCTGTGTTTCCAACTGGCCTTCTTCCATCTATCCAATCACCCCCACAGAGCATTGGCCACCATCCATGAGTCAGCATAGAGGTAAAGTCTTGGCCACTTCTCTCATTCAGCGATGTCCAGGGCCAGCTAGACAGCTTTGAGCTCTGCAAATTGACTCAATCCACCTTCTCCTTCAGTAGCTTCTGCAATTTGTCATGTGGGGCTCCATACAGCTGCTCTCCATTTTCGGTTCGTCCCTACAATGCGACAGGAACCATCAGTGAAAAGGGTGTGGTGTGTTTCTCCTTCTGGCAGTTGACTGTATGATGGAGCTTCCTCAGCCCGTACCACCAGCTCTTCTTCCTCCTCATCTGCTAGACCCAAGTGCTCACCTTCAGGCCAAATTGTGATGATTTCGAGGATCCCAAGGCGACTCGGGTTTCTAATTCAGGTGGAAAAGAAAGTGTGATCAGAGCGATCCACTTGCTCCATGTAGCATCAGTGGCATGATGTGTAGAGGGTGCCTTTCCCTTGAACATCCAGCTCAACACTGGTAGTCAAGGCACCAGGAGGAGTTGTGATTCTGTGCCAATCACCTCTGAAGCAGCTTGCACTCCTCCATAAGCTGCTAGGATCTCCTTCTCTGTTGGGGTGTAGTTGGCCTCAGATCCTCCGTAGCTTTGGCTCCAGAATCCAAGTGGGTGGCCTCGGGTCTCGCCAGGCACCTTTTGTCAGAGTCTTCAGGAAGGACCATTATCCTCAGCTGCAGAATAGAGTATGTTCTTCGCATCTGGCCCAAGGGCTACAGCGTGGGCAATCTCCTCCCTGATCTGTTCAAATGCTTGCTGCTGTTCAGGGCCCCAATGGAAATCATTCTTCTTACGGGTTACCAGATAGAGAGGGCTTACTATCTGACTGTACTCGGGGATGTGCATCCTCCAGACACCTACTGGCACCCAGGAAGGCTTGAGTTTCCTTCCTGCTGGTCATTGCAGTGATCTTGTCGATGACTTCTGTCAGGATCTGACAATGCCCATCTTGCCACTTCACCCCCAGGAATTGGATCTCTCAGGTAGGTCCCTTGACCTTACTTTTCTTTATAGTGAAACCAGCTGTCAGAAGAATCTGGATAATTTCCTTCCTCAAAAACCTCCTCTGCTGTGTCCCCTCCATATGATGATGTCGTCAATATACTGCAGATGTTCTGGAGCCTCACCCTTCTCTAGTGCAGCCTGGATCAGTCTGTGGCAGATGGTGGGACTGTGTTTCCACCCCTGGGGCAATCGGTTCCAGGTGTACTGCAACCCCTCCAGGTGAAAGAGAACTGCAGCCTACACTATAACAAAGGGAGAAGCAGAGTTTCCATTTGTTCATCTTGTCCCGCTTTCCTTCTGCTGCAGATAAAAAACCCAACAACAACCAACACCTTCATCTACTGGATGAAATTTCTGCTTGGCCAACAGCATAAAGCAACACATTTCTATCATATCTCTTTCCCAAGGAACATAGGGGGAATTCCACCTCCCCCAGCCTCTTGCACAAAGAGATCATTCACATGTACAAACAGATCTCTCCATTTTCAGCTGACTCCTGCAGATTGCAAATTAAAAGGGGAAGAAGACATGGGTAGTTTTACCTCTGATGCTTGTAACACCATTCAAAGTAAGGCTGTCAGTTTCATACAGTCTACAGAAATCACACACAATAAACACAACCCATAATTCCAAATTTTTTTACTACAACATATCACAAGAAATAGAAATAACACAGAACTGTAAAGATTTGATTATTCAGAACAGGTGTCTGATAGGTAAGGATCCGCCTCCCAGTTCTTGGACCCTCAAGACATTTCTTCAAAGTGGAAATTTAAAAAGCCTACTTGAAATATGACTGTTTTCAAGAAAGCACTTAAGCACATATTTGGAGCCACAGACCTTGATGGTATTTAAACATATGTGCTTCCCTGCTTCACAGATTTCCATGTTCAATAACATCTTTAAAAGATCCAGTTGGCAGGCAAAGCTGGAATGTAATTTAGGATCCAAACTGGAAGTAACAATGGAAACTGTAAAATTAAGAGAGTTTAATCTTGCTTTAAATGCACATTTCAACAGAAGTGTGTCTTTCAACAGAAGTGTGTCTATAACCATGATCAAATAACCCCCTAACACTTCTTTTAACCTAAAATATCACCAGTTGACAGAGTCTCTAATACAATGAGTGTTCCTATTATTTATAAGCACAAAAATGCTGTTCTGGTCACATAACAAAATGTATCAATGTTACAGGTTTTTTCCCTTTGCTCTGTAGCTCAGATAAACACAGGCTATAAATCACAGAGGTGCAGGGTTGGTAAAGGGCTTTTCCTTTTAAAGGCACAGATTCATCTTTAACAACAACAAAAAAAAGACAGTATCCCCTTTGTGCCAACTGCAATGCTCCTCTTTTTCCTCTGCTCCTTCAGCTCCTGAACCAAGGCACTGTGTCCTTGGGCACTGCAGTCTTAGCCAAGTACCTCCGTGGTTCAGACTGTCTTGCCCCAACCAGGAGACTATGAAACCATAGAGCTTTGATTAACAAGTTGCCCATAAACATCATAAGCCAAGCAACTGGACATTAGCCTCTACAACAGAGAAAACACATGCGTAAAGAACATTAAAAAAACCTCACATAAGCAGCCAGAAAGCCACAAGGCCAAAGACAGACTTGGGAATCCCAGATTAAAATCTGCATTTTCCATAATTTACAGTTCTGCTCCAACTTCCCTGTTAAGAGGTTTCAGAACAGCCCAAATACTGCTCTCCTGGGGATTGATCTCAGAAAGGAATGGCATTAGACTGAATTGCTTTGGCAGTACAGTGACAAACACCATGCAGAGCTAATTTTATTGTAGCAACCTGCCTTATTAATATTAAAATTAGGAAGCCAGCCAATGCATTTTTAACAGGATCTCTCCATTATTTATTCCATAAACTGCACAAAAAAAAATAATTTTGCTATGAAATACTTAGCCTGGCATAAAGTAAACAAGGTAAAAAAAAAAAGTCTTACATATTATACTGTGACCTCAATTTCTAGTCCCATCTTTACAAACTAAGTCTATTTATTGCTCTTC